TTCCTATTAGAATAAGTTATTTTGTTCCATGTGCTTTTCTGTATTTATCAAATTTATACAATAAGCATGTATCATTTTTATAACTCTAGCATTATTATTTTAAAAGAATCAGCAAAATCAAAGGAAAATACTCGATAAGGAAAAAAAAGGTCTAGCTTGAGATTTCTAATTTTATAACTCTATTACTAAAACAAGCTTAGAAAAACATTTCTAGATATTCCTAGATACCAAGCCACCAAAGAAAGCTAATACTAGATAATACTAGTTAGTCTAACTATATAAATAAATCATGATAACCATCAAGATGACCATTCAAACATCTGGAAATTAAGTGGAGAAATCACAAGAACTTTCTGACATTCCAAGGAAAGGATATAGTTATGGACTGTTTAATATTTAAGTACATTAAGAATAAAATAATTTTTAAATGTCTATCCCCCAATATCCCTACAAAATAAAGATTCAAAACAAGGAAAATGAAGATTAAAAAGCTACCCAGTCAAAATGTTTTAAGTTGTGATAAAATTTCCTAGTAAAGTAAGCAATGTCACCTGTTAATATTTAAAATCTTACAACAAGAATAATTATCTTTATTTAAAATACTGTTTGAAGGTCAATTTGTAATAATCAAAAAAACTTATCTGATTGCTTTCTCTCATGGCAGTATCTATCTAGATCATGTATTCAAAGTCTATGCCCTATTAACTAAAAAAGAAAAAGTCATTTTAACCAATTAAATACATTTGGTTCTATAAACACTACTACAGATAAGTGGTTCAACTAATCCTAATTCATCCAAAAACAAAAATACAATCACCTTTTTCTTTGGGAAATTATTTCAATTACTCTATTTCTCTATATAAAACGACTTCAAATATATCAAAAACATCATTATTTCAATATTAGTCTTTCCTTAAATTTTTAATATTCATAAGAACAGACCAAACATAATGCATTCTCAAATTACATGAAGATTCTACTAAGACTTTAAAATTTAAAAAAATATTAAACCCATATGTACAACATACACATTTATTTGAAATAACTTGCCAACATACACATTTATTTTAAATAACTTGCCCCAAGACATAAGATCTTTTCCATCCAGCAATGCAAATGAGCATAATAAACAAAGGCGAAACACCTTTCACTCATATACATACATGTATAGAATTATAACCCAGCAATATCATGTAATAAATGAATACACACCTTACTTTAGCACATGCCAGGGGAGACACACAAAAACAAGAAAAATATTTTGAAATCAGAGTATAAAGGGACTCTGCTTTTTCAAACAATGCAGCACTGAAAGCCAGGTCAGCATCCTTGGGCATTACTAGGAAACTTTAGCACATCTGATATTTCCATCTTCTTCGATTCCTCTGAATAATCAGAAAATTTCAGTCTCCCCCTACCTCACCTGTCCAGACTTCCTTTTGCTTTCTTTCCTCTATTGTATAATAATGCTATTGTGGTTATTTAGGCTTTAAATGTTCAGAGATACAACCTCCTCTCTATATTCAGTTCATTTTCTCACAGACACTGACTCAGCCGCGGATTGTGCAGCACTGACGTTTCTACCCAAACAGCATCCTGTGAGCTGTGATCATCCCATTTCCCCATCTCTGTGCAGTGATTGGCTATTGTAATTGATAGACAGGCTGAAGGAAACTCAGAGATGAAAGCTTAGTGATATGAAGATGTGTTGCCAAATGCCATCTGTAAAGCTAATTCTAGCTCTGCCAGCTTGCCAGGTTTTAGAAAATTAGGATGCAGCTTTCTTTTTTCCCTTTCAATATTTTACTGTATACCCACTCTGGACAGTAAAGTTTATCTTTTAAAACCAAAGAGAAAATACCATTTGTACTTTAAGAATCTACTCAAGAACTACTCTAAAACAGGGAAACTTTTCCATTTCTAAACTGCTGTTGGTATTACAGAGTGATTTAAAAAGGAAACTGGAAAACTCAATCTTCATGCAGTCTCAGAAGCGAGCATGCATATTTTTATGTGGAAATGAAACCTTGCGGCAAAGTCTGATACTGAATGTATGATGAATTTATCTTTAGTAACAGGAGCAGACTGCAGATCTGAGTTTTTAAGTAGTGAGATTCGACCCCCTATTCATATATTCAAGAGCTTTTAGCATATTGTCAATATAGGCCTTTTAACTTTATACAGAAAGGATGCTCTTTTTCCTAAGTAACAAAAATGTCTCTAATTTATAATTTTTAAAAAGTTATGGTAATTCAGGCCCAATATACTTCAACTGAAATGATCTTTAACTGCTCAGCAAACTACCAAAGTTAATACAGGTATTAACTATAAAACTACTCAGAAAGAAACGAAGTTCAATAACTTTTTTAACTATGTAATTCATTTGTATGCACTTGCTGAGGGATCATAGTCCCCCCCACCCCCCAAAGTCCATCCATGTTCCTATTAGTCTCCAGTCTTGTCCTGATTTTTGTATCAGTGTTAAATACATCAAACCTACTATTACATTCAAAATAAAGTTCAAAAAAGAAAATATATTCGTTTTATTTTTGAAAGAGAAACCATAAGGCAATGCCTATCAAACTCTCAAACCTAAACAATAAGCACATATAAAATAGTATTATTGTTTCTTTTATAATTTACTAAATTTATTTTTATCCTTGCCAGTAGAAAAGGAGGGAGAGGGGGTCCAAAGGAAAAAGATGGAAAAAACATGCTATTCTAAATTGTGAGAAAAAGCAAATGAAACAAAACTACCTTATAGATTAACTAAAAAAACTGAATAAAGTATTCTTATTTCTTTACTGATAAAGACAATGCTTGTGTCTCCCAAATATTCATATGCTGAAATATATTCCCCTCAATGTGAGGGCATTTGCAGATAAGGTGATTAGGCCCTAAGGGCAGAGCCCTCCTGAATTGGATCAGTGCCTTTCTAAGATACCCTCAAGAGAGCCCTAGTCCCTTCCTCCATGTGAGGACACAGCAAAAAGAGGGCAAGCTGAACCAGGAAGTAAGCTTTTACCAGATACCAAATATGCCAGCACCTTGAGCTTGGTCTTCCCAGCCTCCAGAACTAAGTGAAATAAATTTCTGTTGCTTATCAGCCACCCAGTCTATGGTATCTATAATAATAAAAGGGTAATATGCTATCTATATTATTATCTATAATAATAAAAGGGTAAAATTAGACTGGACATCCTTCCAGACATCATTCTAGACAAAGCCAGCATCAGAGGGAAGCCAGCCTGGGTCCCCAGTGCCTTTGGGTGGCCAGAGGGCAGCCAGCCTGGGTCCCAGGTGCCAGAGGGAAGCCAGTGCTAGCAGCAGGGGGGAAGGAAGGCCTACTTTTTTTTTTTTTTAATATATTTTATTGATTTTTCACAGAGAAGAAGGGAGAGAGATAGAGAACTAGAAACGTTGATTAGAGAGAAACGTAGACCAGCTGCCTCCTGCACACCCCCTACCAGAGATGTGTCCACAACCAATGTACATACCCCTGACCGGAATCGAACCTGGGACCTTTCAGTCCGCAGACCGACGCTCTACCAGCTTCGGCAGGAAGGCCTACTTTTGCATGAATTTCATGCATCAGGCCTCTATTCTATATATATAAAAGCCTAAGCAACCGAACAATCAGTCGCTATGGTGCGCAATGACCACCAGGGGGCAGATGCTCAATGCAGGAGCTGCCCCCTGGTGGTCAGTGCACTCCCACAGCGGGAGCAACCGTTCAGCTGACCAATTGATTGCCAGAGGCAGGGCTCACAGCTGCCAAGTGCTATGGATGAGCAGGAGCAGCAGGCAGGAATGACAGACAACATTGGACTGCTGGTTTCAACCCGATCCACAGAAAATAAGCATACAACATAACAGATATAATAAATATAGCCTTACACTTGATGAGATAAAACCTGTATCTCTTTCATCTCAAATAATTATCCATGTAAGCACGACAGAGATAAAGAAATAAAGCCACAAGGTGAAGAGGATAGACACACACACACACAAGAAAAAAATAAACAAACCAAAAAGCACTCATACCATTGGAATTTAGTGATAAAGTTAACCTAACATTTTTATTTTTCCAATCTCATCATATCAAAAGTCCACTATAAAGTTAGACATCTTATCAGGAGACTTAAACAGTATCACTCATATTTTCTAGCTATATAACATGCAGTTTAAAAGTACCTGAATCATTTCTTTAAAATTACAAAATGGATTTCATATCACAGCATTTTTTTTAAGAAAGCTGATATTATTTATCAACATCAGGAGAATTTTATATTCATTAGTTAAAAGTTCAATATCCCCTAATATTCATAAATCACAATCTCAATGAAAACATATTTATATGCAATAAGCATGAGGTTTATGAGCTGTCAATTAGCACCTTAAAATATCAGATCATAAAGTATTCTAAATGAGGTGTTCCTTATTAAGCCACGCAACACAGCACTAAATGAGAGCTTTAAAATTATAAATGAGCTGAAACTTTTGAAATAAATTTTACTTAATGCATTAGACTTTAAATAAATCCAGCAGAGTCAACATAAAGACTGCTTTTCCCATTAGGATCATGATGACTACACAATATAAATTCATAGTTAAAAATGTATGGAGGCAAAGATTGTCAAGAGCCTATAAATTATCAAATATAATCTACATACAGTGTATTCACAAAATAAAATAAATTCCTAATAGAGTTTTAAATACAAAAGACTAAATTGTCTTGCCAGAGTTCCCAATTAAATATTTCATTTATTCATAAGGTTAACTAAGGAGTTTTAACATTATATATTTACAAACAAATGAAGATTCAAATACATACAAATATAAGAAAATCAAAAGGAATGTTCTTCTAAAAGTTATTTAAGGAAAAATACAAATATTTATAATATTTTGTAACCCCCATCCTCTGACAAGACTTGTCACAACCAAATGCAGTTTGGTTTTTACCAAAGCTTTGATATGAGAAATATATATTTGATACCTACCTTGAATGTTTATAAAGTTTACGAGGTCTATTATGCAATTTCCGATCCCAATTCTCTGGATCACTGGAGTTACTGTCATAAGGATGAGGGCGTCCTGCCATCCCAGTTCAAGCTTTCTCACTACTGCTCTGAAAGCACACATGTAGCACCCATAACCTACATAAAAAAGTAGTGTTGACTTTTAAGTCTATTCCATGCAGAATAAGAGAGTCACAGAATTTTAAATAATTTCAGACATTACTGTGACATTTTTTTTAAAAAAGTGATATACAGAATTAAAAATACTAGACATAAAATACCACAAATTAGATTAAAATAAACACCAGAAGTATTTTTAGATACTTTTCATTTGATCTTTCTATTAAATTTGCTACCACTCTGCAACAGTTTAATAATGTACTATTTATATTTAGTAAATATATTTAACTACCATCTGTGTACATCACATTTTCAAGCATCAATATAGTAGCAAAAAAGGCAAAAACAATTCTAGAAAATGATTCTTTCAGATGAAATTATACTTGGAATATATTGCTTAATACTGAAAAGTTTAAGATGCTTAACAAAGCATCTAATAAGATCAAATACCAATATTGTTAATTCTTTAGCCAAGTTAAAGACCTTAATTATATTTAATATTTTTCCCAAATAAAGCATGTAAGAATCCTGATGTTTCCTTAGAGTGAAATTATCATAAAAATATTTTATCAATATGATTCATATATTTTATGCCTGCCATATGTGAGTTTTGTGGTTTATTTGTATAACAGTCATATAAAATTATAAGAAAACTCAATACCTTTACAGAATAACTGGAGTAAACACTTTAAAGTACATTCACTTTCTAATTTAATCTTCACAATCACCTTACATGTAGGTATTATAATCTCTATGTACAGAATAGAAAACGGTCTCAGAAGTTTAGCAATATTGCCAAAAGTCACAAACCTTATAAATGGCAGGATTATAAATAAAAATGAGAATTTATTATACAAAATCTTCATCTTGAAAAATGCTCTGATTCTAGTATTTTATTTGGACATAGGTCAGATTTGATATTTAGAGATTGCAAACACACACACACACACACACACACACACACACACACAAAAGATGTAAACAATTTGTTAAGTCATATAGAACCAAGGTTTCCTGATACTCCTATACCTATATATTTTCTATAAACTTTTCAAGTTGGATTTGATAAAAGTGAGGAGATGTGCATAAAAGTCAAAGGGAACCCAGAATTAAGAAATACTGTATTTTCCTGAGTTTTACAAAGTATACCAGCAGTATAATTTCACACACACAAGAAAAGTGGCAAAGATAAACTCATTAAAATTGTGAGTCTATCTCAGAACTCAATAAAAGAAACACTTTCCTTTTAGAGAAAGTATTTTGCTATGTTTATACTTTTTTCCTTATACTTACTTAGTACTTTTTTTACAAAGACAATTGAAAATCTTGTGACATACATATATAATACTTTCAACAATAAAGAATTATCATATGTAATAAAAGGCTAATATGCAAAGTGACCAAACAGAAGAACAACTGGTGTGTGTGTTTGCAATCTCTAAATATCAAATCTGACCTATTTCCAAATAAAATACTACAATCAGAGCATTTTTCAAGTGCTGACCCCCAGGGGGCAGATGCTCAATGCAGGAGCTGCTCCCTGGTGGTCAGTGCACTTCCACAGGGGGATCGCCACTCAGCCAGAAGCCAGGCTCATGGCTGGCAAGTGCAACAGCAGTAGTGGCAACCTTTCCCCACCTCCACAGCAGCACTAAGGACCCCTCAGAGGATGTCCGAGAAGGCCTAAGCCAGCACCTGGACATCCCCCAAGGGGTCCCGGGATGTGAGAGGGCACAGGCTGGGCTGAGGGACCCCCTCCCCAGTTCACAAATGTCATGCACCAGGCCTCTAGTTTAAAATAAACAAATACAGATGCAATTATTTTTAAAATGAAATCTTATGAGTGAAGATTTTCACATAATAAATACATAAATAAGTAGGTATATCAATGAAATAAAAATAACAGAAAAATGAAGAAAAATTACATAATGGCTAATTTAAATCCTAAACAACTGTCACACTGTTCATTTGCTGAATGATTCTGAAAAAGAAACCTATTTTCTTTTTTTTCTTTTTTCTTTTTTTTTTTTTTTAATATATTTTATTGATTTTATACAGAGAGGAAGGGAGAGAGATAGAGAGCTAGAAACATCGATGAGAGAGAGTCATCGATCAGCTGCCTCTTGCACACCCCCCACTGGGGATATGCCCGCAACTAAGGTACATGCCCTTGACCGGAATCGAACCCGGGACCTTTCAGTCCCCAAGCCGACGCTCTATCCATTGAGCCAAACCGGTCCCGGCGAAACCTATTTTCTTAAGGATCGCCGATTAACTGAAAATCAACTCTATATCAGATGACACAAAAACTATAAAATTATTTTGAAAAATAAAATAAAAAAATCTCAAGCTCATTTGAGTTTTTAGTTATAAAAATAAAAAATATATGAGACTTTTTGCCCTGGCTGGTGTGACTCAGTGGTTGAACAGTGACCTAGGAACCAAGAGGTCATGGCTCGATTCCCCATCAGGGCACATGCCTGGGTTGCATGCTCGATCCCAGTAGGAGGTGTGCAGGATGCAGCCAATCAATGCTGTTTCCTTCTGGTCAATGTTTCTCTCTCTCTGTTCCCCTCTCTAAAATCAACATTAAATAAAGATTCTGTAGAATGATATTTAGAGCATTTTTTCCTTATTTCATAGGTCTTCCAATAAACTATTTTATTTCAGGCATTAAAATTTCTTTACAAGAGTATTTTTCTCTTCTCCTAACCAAAGAAAGTCTGCTCTTTCCCAAACCCAAAAAATATAAGTTTAACAAAGATCTCATGGCAACCATTTGGCTTGCCCACTCTGTTCCTCTCCAAGAATGTACTATCATTTTTCGCTTTAATAAACTTTGCCACTACTACTTAAAACTTTCCCTAGATGAATGTCCCTGAAATTATTTTTCCGTGACACTACAGAACCTATGTCATCTGGTAACAGAATACCAATACACACACCAAAATAGAACCTCAAAAACATTGTGGACAAAAGGAGCCACGTGGTAACCTGACAAGTTCAAGGAAGGCCTGCATAGCAGTCTTACAAAATCTAAAGTAACCACAAAGTATGGTCTAAAACGAAACTTTAACTAACTGCAGTTATGGTGGGTAGTCGCCTCTTAGGCAGGTATCTTCCCTAAAAAGGACCAACTTTACCTTAACTGAGCCTATTGTCTTTTTGCATCTCAATAACATATCATTAAAAATGTCAGGTTAACTTGTAACTTCCCCTTCTTCCAGGCCCCTCAGAGTATAACCAAATACCCTGAGAGCCAGAACAGATACCACAAATTATTTCATTGTTATTATCATGTAAATTGTTGACTGTTAACTATCCTGTACCCACCTCAGAAGTCTCTATCATTTTACTCTATTAAATCCCAGTGGTACCCCCACCCAGCTCCTTTTGCTTTTTCCCACCTCTCTTATCTATCACCAATAGATTTCATGTAACCCACCTATGTCTCCTCCTTTGAGTAAATCCGCCATTCTCTGGAGCATTCTCAGAATCCCAATCTTTGAGATTCTGCTTCCTGGCAGTTGTCAAAAGTCTGGCTCAAATAAACTCACAAAAATTCTTTACAGATTTGAATGTTTCTACATTAACAGCAATATAACAGTCTCAAAAAGATGAAGGAAGGGAGGAAGGAAGGAAGGAAGGAAGGAAGGAAGGAAGGAAGGAAGGAAGGAAGGAAGGAAGGAAGGAAGGAAGGAAGGAAGACTCTATAAGGACAGAGAACAGAGCAGTCATGGGTTATGGTTGAGGGTACTACTACTACACAGGGACAGCACAGGTAATTGAGAAGGGGAGGAGGGGGATCATGGAACTACTGTGTATCTGAATAGTGGTGGTATGCCTTTGTCAAAACTCCAGAAACTTTACACCAGAAACTTTACACCAGAAAGGGAATTTTATCGTACATAACTTTAAAAAGAAACTTAAAAAAAAAACAAAAAACAGAGATATCAAACACATTAGCATTGCATAATTACATGGCTTTTTTACCAAAACCCCAAGTCATACTGCCCCTGTTATTATCCCAAACATGCCTAACCAAATAAGCTAAATTCCCACTGCAAAAACTTTTGATAATGAAAACTGGTAACAACTTTTCTACTTCTGCCAGAGAAAAGATTTTAGAATCAGATAAAACTAGTTGTATGTTTTGTACGTGCTTCTTAACCCCAAAGACCTCAACCTACTTAAATGTGAAATTAATAAAATAAAATAACACAACTCTCATTACCATTATTTTATCTATTACTACTATAACTTCCAATCAAATTGTGGTAAAGAATAAGACAGGCCGAAACCGGTTTGGCTTAATGGATAGAGCGTCGGCTTGGGGACTGAGAGGTCCCGGGTTCGATTCCGGTCAAGGACATGTATCTTGGTTGCAGGCATATCCCCGGTAGGGAATGTGCAAGAGGCAGCTGATCGATGACTCTCTCATCGATGTTTCTAGCTCTCTATCTCTCTCCCTTCCTCTCTGTACAAAACCAATAAAAATATATTTAAAAAAAAAAAAGAATAAGACAGGATACTGTAAACAATACAGTGATAGGCACACTGCTGACTTTCTTTAAACCATTGCTTGTAAATGTTGCATAATATTTCACTAATTCTTTCATCACTTTCTATTTGCCTTTTGAAATCACAGATGAGAATTCCTAAATAGCCACTCAACATTTATTGAGCACCTGTAATGTGTTAGATGATTGAAATAAAAAAATGATATGCTATCCATTGTCCTAATTTAAAAAAAAAAAACAAAAAAAAAACAAACAGGTAACTACCAAATATGCCAGTATGATTAGAAGCAAAATATCAGAATCTTTTCTACCAGAAGTTATTTTTCCACTAAATGCTTTATTTTAAGGAATCTTACATTTTTTGTAGACAAAATACTTGCTGACAACGGAAGACTCTCAATATTATAGGTAATATTCCATTTTTTAAAATATATATTTTTATT